GGGTATTTTAACAAAGACTGCTATTTTTGTGTTACAATGTAATAACATAATATTTGAGGACAACAAGGGACCTGTTGCATCCACCAAACTATATATACATAAACCTCAAAGTATGTTGTTATGATTCATATACTATCAAGCCGTCCCTAAATTTACTGCACTTCCACCACATCTGAAGGCGACCCTTTCCAAAGGCCAATCATACTGTTAGAAAAATAAAACTATATTACCTGAAGATGACTCCTATCCTGCCAAGATTTATATTTGTGTCCCCTAGTTCTACCATTAAGTAATGGGGGAACCCCCCATGCTAAAAAAATACATAATGGGAATAATTATTACTTATCAAATGTTTATATGGGAAACACAACTGGAGCAAGGCTAGTAGCTGTATTATTATCCATTTAATTGTTTTATTCTTTATGAAGGAGGAGAGGTGTAGTAAAGGATGCACTGAATAGAAATAGAATCTTAAAAAGTGCATGGATTTCCCAATCTATTGATTAAGTTTCAGTTTTGTAATTATGAAGCATAAAATAGGATCTCCTTTTAACATAGTTTGTTGATTTTCATATAATAATATGGTATACCCATAGTTCACATGCTGTTTACTACAGTCTTTACTGAATCGTCGTAAATGAGGTTAGATTTAAGTATAGGCCTACATACTATTTACAAATTCTTGTGCAGACTAATAAGCAAGACAAAATCACTTGTAGATAACTTTTCTTAGTTGAACCCAAGGTGGTGCTTAGGAAGATCTTTATGGTTTTGGTGCACTGATATGGTAAGTAAGGATATTCAATTTATTTACATAATTAGTAAAGGGTTATTTATAACATTCACATACATATAGACAACTATTTGGTTAAGTGCAAATCTTATTTATTGCATTAAAAAGTTAATTGCTGATAATATTGTGAAAAATTAACACAAAATATGGACAACAAGGTACCACTCAGTCCTTCAATGCTGTCCTTGAGAAAAGTAAAAATTTAAACCCCTCCTTTAATTTTCAGGAAATCATTGATACCCTTATAACTCCTTGAAAATGCTGGCTTCTGCCACTGTGGATGATAATTCATTCCACAACTCAATCATCTCACTAGTTAAGCAGTTTAATGAGACATAAGTTCATAAAATAACTAGGGGAAGTTGATTCCGACTCCTTTTTTTTTTAACCCAGGATGTATCTGTATGTTATTGTAAAGAGCTTCTGAACAAAATAATTAAAAAAACACATCAGAAATTAATAAGTATAATTTTAACAGTTCTTTGATTTTAGTAATATTTGTGTAATAATAATAATTTCTGTATGGTTTTAAGCTTTGTATAGGTAGAGATTGTGAGGTAATCATTTACTTCTTCATCCTAGGCAAAGATCTGGCATTGCCGAAGCAAAGAGTACAAAGATGATGAGCTTTCTGTCCCTGTGGAATTGGGTTGTTGAAGGAATTTTCATTTTGCTAAGGTTGTGGCCTCTAAGGCTGTTTATGGTATGTATTATTATTATTTTATTTGTTTTAATGGATGGTATGGAAGATAGTATGTGTGATATATCTAAAGATGCTACAAATGCATTTCGGGACTTAATATAGCTTTAATACTGTAACATTCAGTTTCATTTTAAAAATTTATTTAGTAATGGCAATTAATTGTTTTCCCAAAACAAATGTTAATCCTATTGGTTTCCAATGCTTTGCCAAATATTGCCTTCAAATCATAATTTTTAAGGTTTTATACTTTATATAAACAAAATTTTGGAAAAAAGTTTGCCTTTCATCATTCAGTGTAACTGACGAAATTTGGTATTGAAAGACCTCTTGGGCAGTGACTTATGGGAGACAAAAGATAGAATTTTAATGGTAACTTTACACACTTGTGACTTGGGACTGCCACATTTGTGATCAAGATCACATTTGTTAATTTTGTATCCCAAGTCACAAGTGTGTAAAGTTACCATTAAAATTCTATCTTTTGTCTACCATACTGGCATTTTTAATTTGAGAATTGTTAGGAAAATCATCTTGTAATGCATTGTGTATCTGCTTCAACTTCAACACTGCATCTTTGGGCTTCACTGTGCCGTTAGTTCCACAAAAATATTGAAACTAATGATTTCTTACATACGATTCCAATATCCCTTTTTACTACTGAGCCCATTTCTTTATGTTTCATTGTTGATGAAGTAATCAATTGATAAATCTTCAATTCAGGCTGCTATGGCAAATCAATAGGGATATCTTCGAATAAGTTCTTCCCTCACCTGACCTGGATCAATGGTTTACCTTAATCACTACACTTAAACCATTACATTCACAACCTTTATAAGGGTGGTGGTTGGAAGTTATGTACTGTAGAAATTTTGGGTGGTTCTGTGTCTACTTTTAAACCTTAAATAATGTTATGGGTAACTGCCTTCCCACATCTGGCTGTGGACAGTGAAAGGCAGTAGGAGGTGAGACGTTGTGGGTTTAAGCACTCACCTCTTTACCCTTGTTTTGATTTTCTATGATGGTCAACTTGTTTAACTTTGGTATTTTGGATTTTGCGTGATAAATGGAATATCCCCAATGCCTTTTGGGTGCTATTACCACAAGCTTTATCCATTTATGACTATGGATGACTGACTGGGAGCAAAAGTGGATGCATAAAATGTTTATAAATTCATTATTGTTTAATAGTGCCGATCTAAATCGCCTGTTAACAATAATTGTAAATGATAATCATTGCTATTTATCTGTTTATTTACATTAATGGAAAATGATTGAATGGTGCTGATTTTATTACTCTTTTCTCTATCTATGATTTCGTCTTTGCTGTATACTGACTAATAGCCTGGCTAGCTATTTGAACTGGCTACTCATATTCAAGAGAAATTTACTTGCAAAGTTCTCGATGTTTAACTTGTCCGGCTACCATGAATTTTCAAGATGTACAACAAGATATAGCACTTTGTAAAATGGATAATGTTATATAACATGTGGTATATGCAGTCTTAAAAATGTAGGGCAAACATCTAATCCTTTACCTCTTAGGCTTAACTTACACAGATCACAAAGTAAGAAGGGTTTTTCTCATACAATAGAAACAGATCATTTTAATAAACACTCGTTCAATAATGTTAGAATAACCAGTTTAGAAAAAATATCTTAAAATAAAAAAACCCTTTATCCCTATGGACTAAATCAGGACTTTCAATATAAAAATACTTGTTCAAGAATGTTAGAATAACCAGTTTAGAAAAAATATCTTAAAATAAAAAACCCTTTATCCCTATGGACTAAATCAGGACTTTCAATATAAAAATGCTGAAACATTGAATAAAAATATTTGTATGAAAACTTTATTTCAAATTCAAATCTGTAATTTTAAGTATTATAAATGTAGAGGAAAAGGTAAAAGCAATAATAAATGGATCGATATTGAACATTTTTGTAAAAACCTAGACACTGCTTTTGATAAATCTGATAATTTAATCAAATTCATAAATAATCAATTATTTGAATTTAAAAATATGAAGATTGTATGTTTTTCAAAGTATATGTTAAATTTTGATTTTAATAATATTCATATAAAAGATTTAATTATTGACCTAATAAAATTATATTAAAATGTAATAAAGTTTCAAATGACCTTTTAGAAAGCAAAAATGAGAAATCTTATTTTGTAACAGATTTTAAACATAAAATATCTGATGATTTATCTTTACCATACATTATTCATAAAAGTGTTTAAGAAAATATTTTTCCTTTAAAATCGTTACAACCTACAGTCAGTTTTAAATATATTTGACCTCTTCTTTTTAATTATAAAAAATTCATTGAAGAATTTAATTCTTTAGAAATAGATAATTTACTTTTTATTTGTAGTAACGATGAATTTAAGGACACTTTTTATAATCATATAATAACAGGTGATTTAGAAGTAATAAAAGATAATGAATTAAAATTAATTTTAAAAAATGGTACTGAATATCGAAACTAGATGCATTAAATAATTAGAAATGTATATATATATATATATATATATATATATATA